AAATACAGATATTTAAAGAACAAAGTTTCACCTTCTCCCTGTTAAAAGACTTAATAGCACTCAAAACTCTGCCGGCGAAGAATAACGAGAAGCTTTATTTTCTCAAATTGGAAAAAAAAGAGACTGACCCTGGTTGGTAAAATAGTTTCATTTGAAGATTTGGATTCAGTTCCTGCCTTATGGCACATTTCTAATTACTGAGCGAGCTGTGCTTGTTTATGTGTGGGCTGAGCTTGTTTGTTTGTTTATTTATTTATTCACTCCCAACATTAAACATTATATTGAATTATTATTATCTTGATGGATTAATGTATTTATTTTTATTAGTATTTTTCTCTTCTTATTACTCTGTTTATTTTTATTCTTTTTGTTACTATAATTCCCCAATCCATCAAGCCATAAACAAATAACCTATGAATACATAGGTTATTTGTTTATAGCTTGATGGATTTATCAATATTTACTTGGTATTTCCATTATAATTATTATCGTCACTAGGTATTTATGTTAAATGTTTATTTAGGTACTAACCTACCATTATTTAATTACACCATCCCTCATTAATTATTGATTTATATTTGTATTTACGGATTTAATAATCTGTTTATATGTTATAGGGATGTCCATTATTATTATTACCTATTTTAATCAATATATATTTATGTTACATATTTATTAAGGTACTAATCTACATTTTCCTTTTTTAATTATGACATTTATTTTTTTAAATGTATTTTATATTTTTTATTTATTTTTTATATCTCCTTTCTTTCTACTCTCTTAGGGATGGATTCATCTTACTTTCAGCAAATACATTTTAAATATAAAATTCAAACAAAATGTTTTTTTTTCACACTGTCAGTATTTCACGTGGCTGAACCTGAGGTTTTGGTGGAAATGTAGGATGTTTTTCTAAAACAGGGCTTTATTTACTTCTTTTTTTTGTGCTAGTACCAGTAGCATGTGATGCATGGAGGCATAGAGCATATTGACAAGAGGACTCAGCCTTGCAGTGGCCATTAGTCATTGTTCACTCCATGCTCCAATGAACCGAGGCATATAAATAACCAGAGTCCAAAGAGTAAAGAAACAACAGAAAGGAGTTTCATAGTTTTTTTGTTTTTCTTTTAACAATGTTTGAGTACATTCACTTTTAGAGTGCTTTTTTTCTCTGCAATGTTACGTCCAGTCATGAAACCCTTTTACTTTAGCTTTTTCCCAAATGTATTACTTTTTATCCCCAGTACGTAAATAGAGTAAATAGAATCTTTTGATTATGGCTGTGTTTAGAGTTTAGAAGATCAACAAGTATCATGTACAACTAGTAATAAATGAGTCCCTTCCATTACAACAACAATCACGATATGGTATTCCAGAAGCACAATATTTTACTTTGTTCATTTATATTTTTATTTATTCGGTGTTAAATTAACGTACAATAAAATCTGCGTTATGAGATTATTACTGCTCAGCATGGGCTCCGTTGATTTTTTTTAATGATATATTTTCTGTAGCGTAGCTCTAATTTACTTATTTCAATTCAGTTCCATCTAATTAGAGGAATATCATTTGAGGAATGGAGGCAGATGAATCCTGCTGCACACACAAATTTGTCACGGCAAAGCACAAAAGCACTGCCGCTACCAGGTCGGCTGCAGCTGTGTGTGTGGGGAATGTGTGTGGCGTGGAGAGGCGAACGGAATGGCTCTGCTTTAGCAATGCTTTAATAAAGTCATGAGATGCAGGAGGGAGTTTGAAGAAGCACAACATTTATAACACATAAACGTTCGTGCGGAGGCACACGGTTAATGGCATGCAAAACACAAACGTCGTACTATGAATCCTCTTATTTACGCCCGCGCACAGATACATCAAAACAGAATTTTTCCTAATTATGCCGGGACGCACTCTTACACAGTCTTTGATGCATTTCCCCTTAAGCATGTGATGAAGTGTTGCTACAAAGAAAAACCTTGATTATTGTGAGGGGCTGTTGGATATGATCACTGTCAGCAGAGTAGTGTTATTATAATACACACACACACACACACACACACACACACACACATATATATATATATATATAAAATACTAGTGCTTCATTCAAGTTCAGTTCCTACTCAGGGATTTGGAGTACATTAACTTTGTCCTGATTTTCATAACAATAAATAATAATTTATTGCACTTCTATAAACCTATACAAGGGTATTTATTGTTTGTAATGATATTATTGTTGTCCAATTATTTTTTTACACCCTAGGTACTATGCACTCTCTTCCTCCCCCTTTCATGGCTGCACTAACTCCAGAGTAATGGCTCTGCTCGCAGGAGCAGCAAAAACAAATGGTAATGATAATCATTTTGGGCTGAGCTCTGGAGAAATGTAAGACTTTAAGGTTTATACCCATTACTTAATTAACAGTACACTGAGCATGTCTGCCCTTAGAGAAAATGACCAACAGAGTGGTCTCTCAGAGCCAAAGGCCTTTCAAGTAGAAATATATAAACAATATTACAGTTGTGTTCCATGACGCACCACGAAATGGGAAAAATCGCAAAGTAGAGGCGGGATAGTTATTGTATTATTTATGTATATATTTACCCTTTACTCCATCACACTGTTCTCAACCCTCCCTAGACTGTACTACCCTTTCCCACACAGTTATATTCACAGGAGAGTTGTATAATGGAGATGCAGAGCAAAGTGAGTGGCCGACAGACGGGGGAGAAAAAACTTTTATATGTAGAATTATTTTATAATGTCTTTAAGTTTATTTTTTGTTATATTTTCAGCATGATTTTCATTTGTGTTCTGGTTCAGAAAACAGGAACAGGAAGCTCACACTCACAAGCTGCAGCTTACATGTCTTTAGCTTATTATTATTATTATTATTATTATTATTAATTATTTTACTGTGAGTCGAGACAGCTCAAAGCTCACTGTTTGTAATATATGTAACAGTAAGGTTAGTAAGTCGCCAGAAACCGGATAAACAGCTGTTCCCTATAGTGGATGAAATAGGCTTCAGACCCTGATTATTTACCTCAGACAAAGACAGTAAACTGAGCCGGGTTTGTTTGTTTTTTTTAACTTAAAACTACATAGATGTCATGCGTTGTTCTTTATTATTATTAATGGAACCCTGTAACATGTTGATGTATGTTACGAAAAAAAAAACCCAGCTTCCACAGCTGTCACTGCTGCTGTGGATGATGGTCTTAGTCAATGACCTGTTCCACACACACAACAAACATCATACAGCTGCTTAGGACAATCTGTGTTAATAGTTAATAGTTAATATAAAATGGGGGGCATCACTCTCATCATGAAACATGAATAATCTTCTCTCTGAGATAAAAATGCCATTCACGTTTACAACATGGCTGCAGTTTGACTCGAGTTTTAACGTCAGTGTTGACACGGTGCATTCAAACACCATTAGGAGAATAAGGCATTGTCTCTACTGTACCCTTCAAACGTACCTTGTTGATATTCCTTTTATTACATTTTTAATGTACCCCATAACGTCTCCACACATGATCACTTTGGTGTCTTGTTTTGTGGAGAGAGCAAATGACGCTTGTCGGAGAACTGAAGCTGATGTTCCACCTGTTTCTCCTGCAGCTTCATCATTCACTTTGTCATCTCTTCTTGACGTCTGTTGTTTTTTCTACCCCAACAAAAGCTCGGTTAATTCTTCCGCAGGGTGGCACTGAGGAGTCCAATAACGTTGACACAATTCATGTGTCGTCTATTCATTTGACTTCAACTGTCTCTGGTTTTACCAAAAGCTGAAAACTGTAGAAATGTGGTTTTTAGAAAGCTGTTGGTTGAGGCAGACTACTGTTGTCTTTTTTAAATACCACACGAAATAAACATTTACAATGAGATCTTCATACATTCCCAGCTAAGCAGGGGGGCAAGGCAAGAAAACCAAATGAATCAATTAGGTTTAGAACAGATGCTATTTGTGTAAAGTAATGATATTTAATAGTCTACCTCAGCACTGTGAATGCCTTTTGCATTTTAATCTTGTGTTTAAAGCAATAACATAATTGTGGTTTGTAATGTGGCGCGAGTGTTGAGCTTACAATAATGGAACAGGCGTCAGGCACACGGCTGGTGGGACGTACAGTAGAGCTAAAGATGTAGTCCACCTATTTTTAGCTCAGTTTCAAATATGACATTTCCTCCATCCTCTAATATTCCACCAACAGTTTCATTCCGCTTCACACCTGCACACCTTGTTAAAAAACATTAAGGTCTATTTATACACCTGCGTCACGTATCTGTAGATGCTGCCGCATTCACATCTGCAATCTAGGATAATTTAAGATCAGTTAAACTAGCGGTTATGATCGTTTTTACCACACAAGGCATTTAAAGAAATGCAGTATTTTCCATTTATCTTCCACGTACATTCACATCCATCTATGTGTTTTTCTTCTACGGCTCAATCAAGTTACAGCTCACAAATGAAATCAAGCCAATCCCAGAAACCAAAAGGCGAAGAGGAAAACACAATAACTCTCTCTTTCATTTTGTTGCTGTAACACTATTCCAAGTCCTATATGTACTTTAGGGAAGGGCAAGAATCACTTTAGGCCTGTGCCTTCCACAGAGGTCAGCACAGTGGCAGTCTGACAGTGTTCAGGTGACAACCCCGGGATTGGGAGTTTGGTTCAATCAAATGTAGAAATGTGCACATTATATTTAGGAAGCCTACTACTACATATTAACACCGTTTCTTTTATGTGAGAACAGAGTATACAAATAATTTAAGGTATGACGGTGTATTTGGCTCATTTTCTGATTTTCTTGTCTGATTCTCCTCCTCCACCAATTAATCCATCAACCCAACAGCCAACCCTCTAAACAGTTGCTTCCTGCTAACATGTTACTGTGACACGTCTCTGCTGAGGACTTGCAACCAAATCCAGATAAAGTGAAATAAATAGCTGTGCCGTTGAAACTGTGAGAAGTTGCCACAAGTACTTACTGTACAGAGTTAGAAGATTGGGACCTGAACTTGCTGAACTCGCCTGGAGCAGTCCACTCTGTACCCAGCTGCAATACAAGAGACGA